GCTTCCTCACCGGGAGGCAGCAAGGAGTGCGGCAGCATCACCCTGCAGGCACCACGATATCGCATTGCCGTTACCAGCAGACGGCAACATGCACCACAGCGGCACCCCCGCGCACATGCGGTGCCTCACCTGCGGCACCGTTATTGGGACAGCGGGCAGCGCATCGCCACACACATGCTCTCAAGGCGCGGCTGCACCACTTATGGGGTGCAGTCACAGCTGGAAGCTCAGAGAAAACCACACGAATCCGTCAGCAAAACTACACCTCGTGCTGCGCTGCGGCGGCAGCAAGGACTACACCTCACCATTTGGTTGTTTGTGGGTTTTGTTTTTTTTTTTTTTTTGCTTTGACATCATACAAAACTTGGGGGTTTCTGCTTTCCAAAATATTCAGTTCTGGGGTTTTCCGGCACTTTTCCACATCATAACAATGGGTCATTTTTGGTTTTGGTTTTCTGCATTAACATGGGGGCGGCAGTGTTTGCTTTCCAGCTGCACAAATCCAGGCGGATTTGGCTTTCCTGGGAGCCCCAACTGTGTTGTTCCCCCCTCCAAATTGCGGTTCCCCCGCCCCCCACTGCAGACGCAGAATCGGGGCTTTTGGGGTGTTTTTGCGCTGTGGCGGCGGGGGGCCCCCAGCCGCGTCTGGCTGCGGGAAGGGGGCCACACCCCGCACGGCGCCGCAGGGCGCAGGCCCAGGCCCGCTCGCTGCCCCACACGAAGGGAAGCGCTTCTTCAGAGCCAGCGTCGAAGTCGTCTTGCTTTTAGAGGAAGGGTTGTGGAAAGTTAAGTTTTATATAAAACCAAAGAAAAAGAAACCTTCGGTAGAAATAAGTAACAAAATTCACGTAGTAGACAGTTGTTTTACTTATCTACAATAGTCAACAATACAAAGAAATTCGATATAAAAAGTTTCTTAGTCAAAAGCTTACTATGCATTTGGAACGTCTTATCATGAGAGTGATCAAATACAAAGATAGTAACTGTAAAGCCTTCCCGCTTTCAAGAGCTGCCATGCTCATAAGACTGAAGAAAAATAAAAACCTACCAAGTTTTTTCTCTAGAACAGATACTTGAATAAAACAAAGACTTACGGAAAAAAAAAATGCTCCACCACCAAGTGTATTTGCTATAGGGAGCACTGAGATAAAAAAAGAATGCAGCAGACATTTAAATCTTTCCTTATGTTACTTGTATGCGTTGAAGAAGTCTGTCTCTGGGAACAGTGAGGTCAGTTTGCAGATACTAAGGGAACAGAGGCAGGGAAAAAAAAAAAAAATCTCACTGATGGGATCATTTTGTATTCATTGTACTGCACAGTGACCGAGAACAACGTTCCTGAAGATGAAAACCAAACTCCCACCCCAGCGCACGCCCTGAGGCCTGAACATCTTCAGGAAATATTTATACCCCTGCGCTTTCCCCTCCGCCCCGATGTTCTTAGTTGGTATTTCTCTGAGGGAGAGGGAGGCTCTCATGAAGATACTTCATGCTCCCATGCTCTGAGAAGTCAGAAACGACATGATTGTCCCCCCTCAGCAACCACTTCGTAGTTAAGAGTCCTTCAATTCCCACAGGTCCACGTGCATGGATACGAGAAGTGCTAATTCCCACTTCGGCGCCTGTAGGAAACACACGGTAAGGTAGTTAATCCTCAGAAGACGTTCACTTCATACTAAGCAGTTTTCCACCTTTATGTAAAAACAGCTGCCTGCCTTTCAGCGACCCGCCTTTCTCTGCTCCTCTCCGAATGCCAGCAGTTACGTTTACCTGTTCCGATTTAAAAGTTAGAGGAGCTTAACTATTACATTATAAATTGTAATGTTTATACTTCTGGCTGCTACAGTTACTTTTAGAGAGAAAGATGCAAGAGAGAGGGTTATCTCTTACATGGATCTTAGACTTTTTTCCTGAGAGTTTAATCCTTAAAGAAAAAAAAAAAGCTAAATTAGTCAAGATTGTGATCTTATGTCCTTTTTTATCATATTGAGGAGATATTGCAAGACCCTAACTAGAATTTTTTAATCACATGGAACACTGACCGTTCCAGCTGACACAGTAATAGCCTGCTATGGAGATTTCTGAGTTTCTACCTCGGAAAAGAATGTTTCCCTTGTCTCCTGCAATTCACAGTAGGTGCACCTGTTTATTTAAGCAACTGATAATCAGTTTGGTTCCTGCCTTTCATTCCTCAACACTGCAAGGCTGGCACACTGGACAGCAGCTCAGTCTGCCCAGGAGCGAAGCATGGCATTCTTTACAGCATCATTAGAAAGACAAACAAAAGAAAAAACTGTTCATCAATTTCAGATCCTGTGTTGCATTGTTCTATCATTACATGCATGCAACATACTTTATTCTGATTGAACAGAGCTTCAAAGGATCCAAAATTAATCTACATAGTCTGTATAGCAGTATTACCTAGTTCTGGCAGGAAAGGGATATTAAACTGTCTGCTGTTCTGCGTGGTTTAAATGTCTAAGCTTCAACTTTTCCTATGGTACCTTTCCTGAAAACCTTATATTAGACAGTAAGATCAGAGACTAATCCTATCTTCCAGGATTCAGACTGCCACACTTTTCACACAACAGCAAATCCTGCAGGCACATCCCTGCAGTATTTTCTCTCTTACCAAGTCCAAATCTATAGCCATCAGAGAATCGGGTACTGGCATTCCAGAAAACACAAGCGCTGTCCACATGCTGGAGGAAGAACTCTGCCGTTTTCTCTGGGAAAGAGGCAGAGAGAAAAATAAAATCCAGTACATACGGAATGATCACGCACTCCAATAAACACAACATAATACAGTGAACAGATATAACAATACAACTTTCACATGCAACCTCATCAGACAGTGTTTAAACAGCCTGGGCTAAGACATGTTCATTTACACCTTCTTCCCAGTATGCTTATCAAGCAGACACAGCTGCAAATGTTACAAGAAGCCTGCAAAGATTAGAAGAAAGCAAAAAGATGTCTAATTCTAAATACATCCAGTCTAGAACCTGCAAACAGGGATAGTTGTATGACTGGGGAGAAAGGACAGCTGCCCCAAACAACATTTTGCAGTCAAACTGAGACAGTTAAACTACAGAGTCTGCTCTCCATTAATCTCAAACATGGGATTGTTCCAGACAATGAAAAATCCTAAACTAAATGGCTATTGCAGGTAATATTTGGGAAATACAATGCAGAAATACCACACGACATCAGCTAACTAATCCGGCTGAACACAGAACACGCAAGACCTGAGCAAGCTCAAGCAGAGTTATGCAAGTCTTAATCCTCTGGAGGACTCTGTTCTCTGTAAGGCTGTGAGGCGCAGGTCAGTCGCCCTTAGTGACAAGGTGAACATTAAAGATCAGCTCTATTTCCAGTACACTCCCTAGCAAATCACTAGTGCACCAGGTCCTGTGGCAGTGGGTTACATTACCAAATGCATGCCTTTTACTGACACTCGCTGAAGCTTGGCAGGAGGTACAGAAACAGAAGCCTGCTTGACTCACACACTCATCAGCCACAGATCAACATGATGTTACTGCAGCTGATCCTCAGGAGTTCCAGGCTTGGTCCGAGAGTCAACCTTCGGCTGGGCACAGCTCTAGCTAGGTTTTGAACTGGCACAGTGTTCAAACTGCATGCAGGACAGATGCTAGGGATGGGAGCAGCACAGAGCTGCATGAAGGAGCACAAGTTCACAACAAAGAGGCAAGAAACTGTGAATTGAGATAAATGCAGTTTTTGTACTAGGGATGCAGAAGTGGGAAGTAAAGGACTGGGAGAGGTAGGGGGAAAACATTTGTGGTCCTTGTTTTCAAGACATAAAAATGACATGGGAAGACAAAGTGGATAAAGTCTTATCCTCCCTACGATCCCTATTCCCTCCAGTGAGGTACTATAGAAGCTCATCTAATCAGCCTTCAGAGGCCTAAGGACATCTCCAGGATTCAGGAGATGTTCCTGCAAAACCCTCTGACTTGGTAAGTGTGCACAACACAGGAACACAAAGCAATTTGCCTGGCAAGAACATGTGCTGACTTGCCATCGGCCAATTGCTCAAGCACATTCCTTAACATCCTGGAATAAGGGCCACACAACGACATGTTTTCTCTGAGCTAAACAGGACTGTAGGCACATTTAGCTCATAGGCCTCCAGTTGGTGATGCCTACTGCAGACCCGAGAGAAGAACAACTACTGCAGTGTAAGTAGTAACACTAACACCAAGAATTGGCAGTCAAACCAAAACAGTAGCTTAAGGAAGCAGACTGATCACTAACCATTCTCTGTGATGATAACATCTGTGTGAGAACTTCCATACTTGTGGATATGTTCAACAGCTTCTTGGACACTGTCCACCACCTCAATGCAGCACTCCAGGTCCCCATATTCTGTGCGGAGAGATTTCACTTCTGAAGGGCTGAATGTCAAGTACGATGCAAACTTTGGGCCAGCGTGAATCTTCACCTGCAATACCAGAAACATTTTGTGCTGCTGACCATACCAATGCCTTCCAGGTGAAAATGTGGCTTCTTGTACTCTGTGTGGGATAATTTTCTTCATAGCAGTCCCTTCGGTACTATGTTTCGGACTTGTGACTAAAACAGTGTTGAAAACACACCAATGTTTTGGCTGTTGCTGAACAGAGCTTGCAGTGCCAAGGCCTTCTCTTCCCCCCCCCAATCTGTCCCCCTAGCAAGAAGGTTGGGAATGCGCAGGAAGTTGGGACAGATGACCTGAACTGACCAAAGGGATATTCCCTGCCATATAATGTCATGCGCAGCAATACAAACTGAGGGGAGGGGGGTTTTGAAGAAGGTAGGCATTGCTCAGAGACTGGCTGGGTATTGGTCTACTTGCAGCAGATGGTGAGTAATTAGCTTTGCCTCACTTGAGTGGGTTTTTGGGGGTTGGGCCCCCCCCCCCCCCCCCCCCCTTTTTTCTGCCTCTTTCCTTCACTTATCAAACTATCTTTCTTTCAACACACAAGATTCCTTGCTTTTGCTCCTCTTATACTCTCCCCCCGTCCCGCTTGCGACAGGGGGGAGTGAGTGAGCAGCTGGATGGCGCTTAGCTGCTGACTGGGGTTAACCCACAACATTCGTGAATCAAATGTTCACTGCATGCAGTGTAAGAAAAATAAGCCTGCACTTTGGGAAACTTAGCATACTGGTGAACTAGCAACAAGGTACAATAGCTGACATGCTAGGCTGGCTACATAGCATGACATGCTCCTAGTTCAGGACTCGTTTCAAATTATTTAAAGCAATCGCATCACTTAGAAAGTCATCAGGCAGGAAGACAGTACAACACTAGTACTGGGGAAACAGCTAAAATATTGCAGCCAGCCCTTGTTTTAAGAAAGTAACTGCAGCGCAGAGAATAACTACAGGAATGCTTCCAAGCTTCCACCTACCAAAGACTTAAGATCTTGAATGGCTTTTACCCTTTTATTTTGTAAACTGACACCAGCCCTCTCTGAAGCATGTGTTTCAGACACAAAGGAGTTACTGGGTCCAAAACCAGAAAACTCACACAGATATTTTTCATTTGTTGTAAAGAAGCTCTAATGCATTATCAACCTCGGAGTTTAATCATAGTAGCTGAGGCACCTAAACAATGAGAGATAATTTAGAACTGATACAGACAAGAAATCCCCATGCATATAAAACACTGGAAATTTTGACAAGACAAACACAAATAGGAAATAAGGCATGAGTCTGCAAAATTTGAAGTTAGAAGGCTTTTAAGAAGGTATCTGTGAAACGGCATTTTCTTGTGCAACTATAAATTACTTTAATTGCATAATCCTGCCCAATATTTGCATGTTTCTTGTTGCCAAGTCAGATTAGACAGAGGTAACATCCTCCCCACTGTATTAGGAGCTGGGTGGGTGGTGGTGGAAATGCACTAGTCCTGACATTCCTCCCATCCAAAATCCAGAGATCTAACCTTCCCTCTGCCCTTCCCAAGAAACGACCAAACAAGACATTAAAAAAAAAAATCCATTAAGTGAGGACTTGGTCCTGACTACCTATCAGCTTCTTTTACTATGACCCTTTCAACATCATCAAAACATATGGCCTCTCTATTTTACCTGCATTAATCACTGCCTGTACACTCTATTTGCCAGGTATGTACTGCTGTGTGAAAATCCTTTATTTATGTGCAATTCACACGGCTTCATGGATATTTCTCTCCTGATGCATCTCTGCTACCTTTACTGACAAAACATTACTCATGTCAAGACAACTAATTAATATACTGGCCTTTTGCTGTTCCTTTGACATACCAGGAAGGAAAACGGGTGGGGATAAAGGGCATGCAAGATGAAAGGTTTAAAAAAATGTGCATGAAGCAGATTCAGAAAGGAGAAACACAGAAATGGAATTCACTTGGGTAAGAAGCTAAATGAATAGATTCAAGAACAAGAGGCTTTGCGCCTGGGAGGTTAACAGCAATTAAGACAGAATTAAGAGGGGTAGACAAAGGGTTGTGTGTATGCTCTTCTAAGGCAGAAGATGATTTTTGCTATACAAAAGGAAGTATTTGTATCCCAATAATGGCACGTAGCTGTCCTGAAGATGTTTTCAGATAATTTCTATGGAAAAACTTGGGGTTGTGTGGAGAAGCAGAGAAAGTTCTCCCATAAAACTAAACAGGGCTAAACCAGCCAGACGAAATGCTTCTAAAGTGTTAGGAAAAAAAAACACAAAACAAAACACAAGTATGAGTGACTAACCTGTTCTACTCTCAACATGTCTATGATCTGATCAAACAACGGGGTTCTCAGCAAGTCTCGATGAATTAAGAGAGTTTCCAGAGCATTACAGGCAGCAGGATATTCACACTTTGAGTCTCTGACTGAGGTTTAAGAGTAGATAATTGGTTACATAACATTTACAACAAAGATTTTGAACAGCATATGAATTATCAGTTACCATAACCATATCACATACTCCAAATAGGAAGTTCAACTACACCCATGAGATTCAAATCACCCTCTCCCAGCTTACTTATTCGTGTGACCTTCTCAACGCTGGCATCCGTGTCCACATACACATGACAGATCCCTTCGCTGTGTCCCATCACTGGGATTCCCTTCGCAGCTTTCTGGATATTCCTGACTAGCTGTGATGAACCACGTGGAATGATTAGATCTATCAGCTTGTCCAAACGACAGAGATCTTCTACTTCCTCTCTTGTGTTCACCTGTGGTAGTTGCAATACAAGCAGTCTACGGTTTGAACTCTCACGTTCTGCCCATACTTTTTATACATACCACAGCAAAGAAATTTTTGATTTAATTCTAGGCACTTACTAGTTGCACCGCATCTTTGACTCCATGAATGGAGAGTGCTTCTTGTGTCAGATGATGAAGGATTTGATTGCTATGTGCTGCCTCTT